GGCGGGGCGGGCTGCGCGGCCATCCCGGCCGCGGCGGGGCGGGCGGTGCCGGCGGCGGGCGGTGCCGGCTGCTGTCACTCGCCACCGCCGTGCCCTTTGCTCCTGCTCGCGGCTCCCGTCGCACTCGGCTCTCCGAGGGCAGCTGAGTCTGGCCCGTCCTGCAGCTTCTTTGATGGAAGCTGCAGTGAAAGCTGCAGTGATAGCTGCGACTGCTGTGCTCCAGCTGCCGCATCCTGGCGCTCTTACCTGAAAGGCTGCGCCTCGACCCCGCGGCCACGCATGGAGATAGGAATTGTTGCTCCCTTGGTAGCCTTAGATTTGCCTTTTCGGTCAGAAAAGGCCAAATGCTTCAGTGCACAGCAGACATTCAGGAAAGCCACGAGAACAGCTCTCTTTTGACATGCTCCAGCGAACTGCAGTTCCTTGCTTGAAACAAAAACAATAATCCAAACAACTAAACCTCAACAGCAAACTAAACTAAAACCTCAACAGCAAACTAAACTAAAACCAAACCAAAAACCCAAACCATTTTACTCAACCTCTGTTTTCACCAACGTGCTCACGTCTCCCCTTCTGCCTTTACCACTGGAAGTGCAGGGGTCTCCTTTGAAAAAAGCACCAAGACAGCAGTGCTCATTCTGTGTTCACTCAAAGGAAAATGAAGGGTGACAGGAGCATTTATCTTCCTTCACTTCCTGTCTCCAGTTGATCTTCATGTTGATAAAGCTTATTAATGTATTTAGATGATTAGCACTCTTTTCTATTAGCTTGCCTGATTCAGCTTAAATAAATTTAAGATGGCACGAGTTCAAAATAGCATTCTGTGAAAGAGTACATAATCTTGGTAAATTACAGAACAGCCAGCCCACCAGCAGACAGTCCCTTTGTATCAGTGATACTATAGGCCATTTGAGTTCTGGGGTCTCATTCAGCACTGCTGTGCTGCACATAAGCATAAGTGTTTAAACACATAACTGTTATCCAGAAACACCATCCAGAAAATCCCTGAAGTGAGCTGGCACTTTCTTTTTTTTTTTTTTTTCTCCCTTCTAGAACAGTTTCTAATTTCAAAAGTTTGATATGAGCCATAAAAATATTTCAGGACTTACCTCTAATTTGGTTTGCTATTATTCTTAATGAGGAAAAGCAGTGTAAACATCTGTGGCTTCTGCTTGTATTTAATTGTATTCCAACTTTTTTAAATGGTGATTTTTTTATTTTTTTTTTTGAGAAATGGAATAATATTATTTCTTTGTAGAAATCATATTATAAAGCACTGACTATTCATGGAAGCTGTGGACACAAACTTTTTATATAAGAAAGCAAAAAATTTTTAAGTGATTTTGCTTCAAACTTATCCCCTTCTTTCCTTCTCATGATTCCCTGCCATCCTTTTCATGATAACATTTAAATTCATTACTTCTGCTTGAGAAGCTTTGACTGTCTTAGGGAATGACCATATGTGTAGCTGGAACTTGCAACAGAAAGGTGGTGGTATATATGTAAGAAAAATTGGAAAGTATCCTAAGTATGCTGCTAGCAAGTCAATTCTGTTCTGCAGTCTCTGAGTGTGTAGAGAACAATGTTACAAAGGATGTTTAAAGGTTTTGTAATGGAAGTATCTTGAATATGAAGTCTTAAATCTTGAAGTCCTTGCCTAGTTGCTTAACTAATGACAGACAATTAACAGTTGACAGCCTCACAGCCATTAGCACTGCTAGTTTATTTTAACTGAAAAGCAAAAAATGGAAACCCCTTTATTTTCTGGAATGAGTTTCCTCACGATAATTGTATTCAAGGACATACATATTTGTGTTCGTCTCCACGCCTTTTTTTTTTTTTTTTTCCTTTTTTTTTTTTTTTTTTTTTTTTTTTTTAACGAATCCCTCTTTTCAGAACTGATGTTGCTGTTGTTGTGATATCCACACGATGGCACGCAGTGACTTCTTTTTGAGTGTCTGTAGGCTTGGGCAAAAGGTTTATAATCTCAGTAATTGAGACCTTGAGAATTACTAAATCAAGGAAGTATTTGTTTAAGAATTATGTGGTTAAGTAATTTCACAGAAGTCTTGCTGACAACTTCTATCTCATTATTTCAAGAAGTTGTAACACTAATTTTTATCAGCAATCATGATGGGCTGCCATGATCCAGCTAAAATATTAGCCATCCTTCTTACTATGTCCTCATTTTTCTTTTGTTATTAAGTATAGTAGTTCATATTGGAGAGGGGGGTAGATCTTAAGTAGAATTTAATTACTTCTACTGACATTTATAGTAGTTAACTACTAAAATGTAGTAGAGTTAGTAGACATGTTTCTTCCAAAAACATAATCAAATTTTAGTTAGGAACATATCTTCTACCATTGTCAGTCAAAAGAAGAACTATTTGAGAGTTCCTATCTCCAGTGAGAAAACTCAGGTGTTATTTCTGGCAGCTAGGGAAGAACTTCTGTTCCCTACTTATGCTACTTTAGCTATAGTTATTGTCAGTGAAAAATATTTTTATTTTTTCTAGAGCCACAGAAACCAGAATAAAGAAAAGAGAGCACATGTTATGTCACCTGTGTAAGGCCCATGTCAGGTTATCTAACTGAACATAAGCTTTGAGGACTCATCATACCAACATTTAATGCAGAGTAAAACATACTCTGTTAATCTTGTTTTGCAGTAAAACACAAGATTTGTATCACATCACAAGCCTGTGCCAGAGCTCCTGTCTCTTACTACTGTGCTGCAAAAGCCTGCATTCCTATGCAAGACTTAAGGTGAGAACAAGAATATCCTGTTTCCTTCATGTGGTGTGGAAAAATAGCAGAACCATATCTGCTGGATACTGGAATATTTTAGGGCTGTCCCAGCTAAACTGGAAATTCTGATTACACCAGGCTCAGTGAAATATTCAAGAGCTGACTCAGAAAAGAGTAACATGTAGTAAAAGTAGCAGCATTTTAGCCAGTTCCTTGGAAGTTTCCATTCCCAGCATGACAAAACACTCATTGATTCAGGAGTTCAATTCAAGGACGCTCTGGCACTCCTTACTTTTAGTATGCTGAAACCAGGTGATGAAATCAGAGATATGTACAAAACACTCTTGCTAGAATGTCTAACAAATACCTGCTTTGAAAGTACTTTTTCTGTATTTTATTCTGGAATAGAAAACCACAAAAGTTATTATTTTACTTTTTTAAAAAAATATCTTTATTTTTAGTAGTTTGAAGTTTTGTTCTAGTTGAATAGACCACTTTCTTCTAGGAAAAATACCTGCACAGTAGAATGATGGTACCGAGACTGTTAGATTACAGTGAAGCAACAGGTACTATGAATGTCTGTTTAATAAGGCATAGCTGATACTATCTGCTAAACATCTGATAAGTACATAAAATTCTAACAACTACCATTTGTATGTTAGTGAACTGTGTGCAAAAGATAAAACTGGTGCTTTTCAGATATTGCAGAAATATTACATAAAAGTGGAGAACGATGCTTTTTGAAAGTTCATTTCAATTCTCAAGAAGTCCTCCAGATTATGAATCCCTGTTTTTCTCTCTGGTGTCTTTTCTCCACACCAAATCCTCAGTTAGCTCCTTGAAAAATACAAAGCATTGTTTTCAGCTAGCTTCCCATTATCTCTGCACAGTATTGTATTCTGCCATGTGGACATGCTTCATGTTTAGTGCTCAAAAAAAGCCTTTAAATGTATTTTAAGTCCTTCCCTCTTTGTCCATTTCCCCAAAATGGTTTAATAAGTGCCTCAGATTAAATATCTGTAATTAACTGATTAGGTTGGATTATATGATGGCCATCTTAATGGCAGGTTTATTGTCACACATATTTTTTTGCAGCCACAGGTGAGTGACCCAGATCAAAATATTTGTGACCAGTCTATCCCTTATTATAAAAGCAACCTTCAGTTAATTGTTTGGCAAAATATTAAGGAGAATCTTACCTACAGAAACTTTGGCAGCACATAAAAAATATTACAAGGCAAGGCAGCTCACCACCTTGGAGATAATAAAATTAGATTCTTGTCCCAAATATCTTGCATTTCTCAACAATCAACACAAATTGTTATCAGAAGTCTTGCAATGGAATGCAGAAGAACAAGACTGGGGATCTAGGTGAGAGGTTAGGAGATGTTTATTGTATTGTCATGATGTTTGCAGATGAATAGATGTTAGGCAACTTGGAGGTCAGTGTCAAGCTACTTCTGCAGAAATGGTGTGCAAGAAACATAGGAAATGGCATGTAAGAAATGTGTTACAGGAAGTAACAGATAGATGAACTCTATTAAGAAAGTAATAAGCAATGGGACAGGCAATGAATTTTTCAGCTCATTAAATTTAAGAAATACCAGGAATAACTTAATTACAGATTTTGGTGAATCTGCATAATATCTGTTTCTCATTAGTTGTAAAGCAAACAAATATTAGATACCAAAGTATTTTCTAACCTAGAACTTAATACAACTTGGCACTTATTTTCTGCTTTTCATGGGGAAGAATAGAAGACAAAGGTGCTAAAGATTTACAGAAAAAGGCAATCACTCAGAGGGAAAAGCCTGTTAGAAGGGCTTAAGCTCAAATGGGAATGAGTATGGAGATAAAAGGAGCAGATATTTGATGTTCATTAAGCTTCTTAAGTTTGGGAACACTTTACAAAAGAAAATAAATCAGTTTGTCAAAACTGTTGGTCTTTACTGCAGGAATTGGTTTCACAAAAACATAAAGAACAAAAAGATTGAACCAGTGACCACTGAATTAATTCATGGAAATACCATGAAGAACAATAGCCTCTCAAAACCACAGGAGATGTATTGTCCCAGTGGTAGAATTCCTTTTTTTATGTCCAGGAATACTCTGCTTAGGCACTGACCTCTATTCTCTTTACAGAAGAGATTTTGTTAGTTTTCAGCCTATGAAGGATAAAAGCTTTTCACCTATGCAGCAACATCAGAAAGAGCAGAAAATGAAAATTGTTATGGTGACTGACATTGCAGAGGGGATGTAATGAAGGAAGTAGCTACAATGTTTTTCCTTGCATTCTATTGATAATTTTCAAGATAATTTGCTTCTTTCTTTCTCTGGGCTTGCTGTTCCAGCCTTTATCACAGAGTAAGCAACAGGTGAGCAAACACGAAAGATTCTGATGAATATTTCTCATTGCTAAAAGGAACCTGTAGTTTGTAATGCTTCTGCTTCCACCAATATGTGATGCATGTTCAAGGCACACCT